CTCCCAAATTACTGTAGCACACACAAGCTGCTTCTTTTGAGAGTTTGTTAGACATATTTTTATATATAAGCTTAAAATCAGTATACTGATTATGATGCTTTAGTGAATTTTTCCTTCAATAGTATTAAGTACTCTTTGTAATAGCGGGTTCTGGTAGCCTAGAGAGTAGTCTAATTTTTGTTGTTATGCACCATTGAGTCACCTACAACTCATGGCGACCCTATGTACAACCGCCCTAAACCCTGCTCTATCCTGTGCCAATATCACTATCTATCCTCATTATGCCAGTCACTAAATCAATCCATCTCATTGAGGGTCTTCCTCTCCTGTGCTATCTCTCCACTCTCCCAAGCATGACGTTCCTTTCCAAGGACTATTCCTGCCTTGAAACATGCCCAAAGTATGTCAAAGCAAGCTTCAGAATCTTTGCCTCCAAGGAGCAGCCTGGTCTCACCCTCTCTTGGACGAACCTGTTTGTTCTCCTAGCAGTCCATGATATATTCAATACTCTTCTCCAGCATCACAGCTCAAAGGCATTAATTCTTCTTCTATCATCCCTAGCCATTGTCCAGTTTTCTAATGCACAGCAAATAATTTCAAAGACTATGGCCTGGATCAGGCACACCTTAGTCTCTAGACTGACACTGTTGTTCTTCACTACTTTGGAGAGGTCTCTCACAGCAGACTTTCCCAATGCAATTTGTCTTTTAATTTTCTGGCTGCTGGTACCAAGAGTGTTGATTGTGGAACCAAGCAAACTAAATCTGTCCATAATCTCACTCTCTTTACCATCCCATTCTGATGCTGCCAATCGGCCCACTGGTGAGAATTTTTGTTTTCTTGATGTTGATCTTCAATCCATATCGAAGGCTACAGTCCTTGACCTTCTGCAACAAGTGCTTCAGATCCTCCGCAGTTTCAGCAAGCAGGGCTGTGTCATCTGCATAATGCAGACTGTTGACAGATCTTCCACCAATCCTGATGTTACATTTCTCCTCATAGAGCCCAGCCTCCAGGACAATCTGTTCTGCATACAGATTGAAAATTTATGAAGACAGGACCTATCCTTGGTGTGCCCCTATAATTACCAATTGCAATTTTAAAGTAAAACATGATTTCACAAATAAGTAATCAATAATTATAGAAGGACTCTAGTGGCATACTCCATAGGGAATTTCACTGTTAACTAAAAGGCCACAGCTCTCTGTTGGTTTGATTTCCCCAACAACTCCCAAGCGAAAATCAGCTATAGGGCCAGGAGCTGAGAATAGATCAATTATGAGTCACTTACAACTAGACAGTAATGAGAGAGAGAATGAGAGAAAAACTAGGAACAAATGAGCATTTTCCTTTTTAAAAAATATTCTGAGTATTAGGTGGCATAATAAAAACCTGTAAATTGGAAACTACTTGTGACTCCATAGTGGGATTCCAAAACCTGGCCACCTGCTCCCACAAAAATTGTTCTAAGAAACTCCCTAGAGACGTTCCATACACCATGCAGGGTCATTATGAGCCAGGATCACTTGGATGGCTGTTAAGTAGTATGATCTGGGTTATCCATAGTCACTCTGCTAAGAGACAGAACACCCTCGTGGTGAAGCAGGTAAGCATTCCACTACTAACCAACACGTCAGCTGCGCAAACCCACTAGTTATTCCACAGAAGACAACATAAAAGCCTCAGAAAACCTGAGCGGTAGTTCCACTCTGTCCTACAGGGTCACTGAGTCAAACTGACAGTAGGACAGTGGGCCTGCATTTTGCTAAATCTACAACCAGCTAAGTTGTTACATGCTGTCAAGTTGGAACTGACTCATAGCTGACCCTCCGGTGAGTTTTCAGAAGCGATAAATTACATGAGAGGAGAATGCTCATATTTCTCTGGTGGACTGCTCATCTTTCTCAACTGCATGTCTTTGCGCTGGCAGCAAAACTTCTTAGCCGTAGGTCACCAAAGTTCAAATTAACTAGTGCATTTAAAGCATTTACAAATAGTAAATATATACTGAAAATTCTTCATACTTCTAGTTGTCATTAGACAGCTTCCGACTCAAAATAATTCTGTGTGTGTCAGAGAAGAATTATGGTTCATCAACTGATTTTTCAGAAGCAGATCATTCAATCAAGCAGGTACAGAATGGCTATTAAAGGATATATAATATAGAAGTATGGTCTATTCTTAGCTCCTGGCCCAATTCACTTTCAAACTCATCTAGTCACCTCTGCAATAGTGATGTGCAAACACTGGAGATTTTACATTAGTGTTATGACTCTTTTCTTACTCTTTAAGGCAATGATATTCAACTGTCTGATAAATCATTTCAAATAACACAACAGTCTTTTTGTGAAGATCTAGATTAGGATTAATTGGTAAGGTATCATTTTATATCTCATGATTTCTCAACCATTATTTTTAATTACAATAGTTTATTTACAAAATTCAAATGCATTCTTTTCCAGACCAGATTCTCCCAATTTCCCTCAACCATCCCCATCAAATTGTACAACCCCATGATTAATCTCCCCTCCCCTGCACATCCTCATGCCTCGGCTTCCACTCTAAATATATTAATGGTAAAATTGCTTTGGAATTATGCAATTGTTTTGTTGTTAAGTGCTGCTGATTCCAGTACGATACATTACCCTATGAAAAAGATCTGAACCGTGTTCTCTCTTGTGCCATCCTCACACTTCCGGACACACAAGAGCCCATTACAGCAGTCACCACATCAATCCACCAGGCCAAGGGTCTCCCTCTCCTTCGCCAACCCCTCAACCTTCCCAGTATCATGTCCCTCTCCAAGCCATAGCCCTTCCTAGCAACATGCCCAAAGTGCGTGAGGCAAAGCCTCATCATTCTTGCCTCCAAAGGGCACTCCGACTGAACCCTCTCCATAACTATTTGTTATTTTTGCAGTCCATGGTATGTTCAATATTCTTCTCCAACACCACAGCTCAAAGACATCAATTCTTCTGCCATCCTTATTCACTCTCTGGCTCTCAGATGTATAGGCAGTATTATATGAACTTCTATTTCTAAGTGAAGGTAAAATATAAAATTCCGACTGGAATTTGAACAGGTCAAAATGATTTTTCTTTATTTCTTACAGTGAAGTTTTCTTTATCTGTAACTTGCATTAACATACTTCGCACAGATGCCACATCAAGTATCTTTAAGAAAATAGTTCTGGATCTTATTTCATGTGAGTCCATCAGTCAGGAGTCTTTTTAAAACATCAAGGGAACACTAAACTCTTAAGCAAGTCTCTGTAACAAATCCGTGCCAAGATTTGCTCAAAGGTCTGATCAACAGGCAAAACTGACAACTTCTGCTTTCCTGCAAAGAAACATCTGTTTGTATGAAGGCTTAAAGAAATGACAAAGTTTAAAAGGAGTTTAATAGAAGCATCTTCTAATATTTTATTAAGTGCCACTGCGATACGACCAATGATTATATTTAGTTTAAAAAACGTGCTCCATGCTGAGATCAGAAAAGTCCTCTCTTCCTGTAACACTTCCAAAACATGTAACACTCTGAAAACATGAAGTGCTCTGCTATCTCGGGGATGTATAATCATTTCATAACTAGGTACAATAAAAAATATGAGAACACAGCCATAATTCAGTGATTTGAGACAAAGAAAAAGGTGTTAATGTAAATGCGGCTGGGTTGTTTTGGGGTTTTATTATGCTTCAATCTGCTCCCTGCTGTTGATTACATAAAGGAAAGCTCCAAAAATAAGGTGCTTTGCAGATTTCTTAAGACGTCCTCTGAGGTTCCTGGCGCCCAATCCCAATTCCAACAGTTCCTATTTTAACAAAAAGGTTTAAAGCTTAAGTCTTCCGAGAAACATCACGAGGGAAAAAATTATTTTATCCTTTAAAAAGTTCAGGACAAAACTTGTGGGGCTTGGGTCAAAAATCACCAAAAGAGAGTCGGTACATTCCTAGATGTCCCCAAGTGATCGACCCCCGCGACCGCCCAACCCTCTGACATTTAATAAAGTACAAAGTTTCAGGTGGCGAATTACTCAAAAGCCGCCAACACTCGTAAACAAACTCTCACGCACACCTACCACCCACCGCATCGCCACACTACGGCGAGGTCACAACTCACCCACGAAACCCAGACCTGAGGGGCTTCCACAGCTCGGACACGGGGAACACACCTGCACTCAGTGGGACGACGTGAACCACTACTTCAAAGGCACCCATGCACTCTGGGAGCTGCCATCTTGATAAAAAACAAGCCCTGCCTTAGAGGCCCCTCAGCCTGTCGCCCTAAGCGGAGCCGGAGTGCGGGGGAGACACGGGCCCATCGCCCCCACACCCATATCGTCTCAGCAACCCCGTGCAGCAAGAGGTGTCCCACCCCGACCTCAAACCCCGGAACCCAGTCCCGCAGAGCCAGACGACCCAAGCGCCAGGCACCGCCTTTCAGGCAGAATCAAGGGCGGCCCCGACTGGCGGGGGCGGGGCCTCCTGTCAGCGCGCGGCCGGTAACCTAGGAAACGCGGCGCAGCGTGGCTAAGCGCAGTCTGTCAAGGGGCCTAGACACGGAAGTCCCCGCCTCGAGCTCAGGCGGTTCGTGCAGACGCTCCGTGACGGTGCTGCAGCCTCCAGCGCGCGGCCTCCCGTCCCATCCCCGAAGATCTGGATCGGTGCAGAGCGGTCCAGCCCTGGGCCCCACACACTGCCCTCTCCCACCTGTCCCTCCCTCGGCCCCGCCCCCTGCGCTCTAGCTGCCCTGCGCCCTGCCTGCGAGCCTGTCCTCGGGCACCGCGGGCACCAGTGCCCTATCCCGGACCGCAGCCAGCTGGCAGGGCGCGTGCTGGATGGCTCTGAGGCTCGGACTCCCGCAACGAAGCAAAGGACTCTGTATTATTTTGTTTGCGGGGTTGGTTTGTTTTTTGGTTTTTTTTAAATTTAGTTTTTTTGCAACGGCTGAAATTTTTGTAGGTTGGGTTAGGGACCTCAAGGAAAAGGACCCTTTCTAAAATGGCAGCCTCCAGCCGCGCACAAGTGTTAGATCTTTACCGGGCGATGCTGAGAGAGAGCAAGCGTTTCAGCGCCTACAATTACAGGTGACCCAAGCGAGGGGCTGGGAGGGGCCCGGCACTGGCTGCTCGGGAGAGTCCGGGTTCGGGAAGCCTACCAAGGGCAGCGGCGGGGAGGGGCCCTCTGGCCAACAAGGTGCACCTAAGGCCGGGGACAAACCTCCCAGTGAAACGCTAGGCTGCGCTTCCCGCTAGGAGCACCTCGGGTTTTTTGTACCAGTGCTTTGGATTGTGCTCTTGGCGGACTTGGTGGTGTTTCAGCTCCGAGAAAAGATGGGCGTGAAATTTACAAGCGTTTAAATCGACGTGAAATTTACAAGCGTTAAGTTCACACCGGTTTCTTGCACACACGTAGAGAACTTTCCCCAGCAATTGGTAGAGTTGACCATGGAAGTGACCAGTCTATGGCAAATGTCCACAGAGCTGAAGTCTCACTCTGGCCCCTTCTTTCCTGTCGTAGTTGTCAAAACTAGCTTTTCGGTTACCAGAAACAGATACATTCCGATTAGATGATGGAAAGGGCTTGCAACATAAAAGTGACGCGCAAATTGTGATGAGGAAAGCAAGCGCCCCAAGGTTATAGAAGTAGAAACAGTCATTTGTTTCTACTGGCACCATCAGAGGACTCAACCACCAAGGACTTAACCAGCAGGAGAACTTCAACACTTCTCAACCCGTCCTTAATGAAGTATACTTTTCCAGCAATTCCCATTCGTCCTGAATTCTTTTTTCTTACTCTGTCTTTTTCATGAGGCCTCTGCTGATTTTAACTTCGAACTTGTCATTACTGTATGCATCTTTGTATAGATATTCTCTCCCACTCCTCTTTTTTGAGTTTGAGCCTTATTTCCACAAAGCAAGAGTTTGACTCAACTAGCTCATCTCATTACCCCAGCCTTCATTATAGATGACTTGCTATCCCATGGATTGAGGGATAGACCTGATGATAGAACAAAGTGTGCATGTCTAGTGTCTCTCTGTGAGCTTGTCTGCCCTGTGATTAGTAAGCAAGGTCTCTTTTTTTTCTTTTTTCGCTTTTTTTTAACAAACAGGTAACGATTTATTTTGCATTTTTAAAATCCTTAAATTGCGTGTTTCACTTTTATTAATTTTACATTTGTTTACATACAAAATGATCATACATGTTTTACACTATCCTTTATTCACATTGTTTCATACAGTTCTCATTCATTATATTTTATAAATCAGTCACTATTAAGCCACACCTTTCATTACCCTTTCTTTCCACATCCCCACAGGATTTTTCCCATTTTCTTTTCCTGCCCCCCCCCACCACCAAGGAAATTGTGTGACCCTATGATTTCCCCCTGCCCAAATTAGGACCAAGCTTAGAAGTTTTATGGAATAAAAAGGTAGTCAGATACAGCCAGAAATGTACAACCAGGAGAGGATATAAGACTGATGAATAGTGGCACCCTCTAAAGATTAAATTCCTGTGCACATCAAAAATTTTTCCAAAAGGGTAAAAAGAAAACCTACTGAGGGAAAAGCATTGGCAATACCATCTCAGACAAGGGTCTCATAACAGAAGTTTACAGAATCCTACAGGGTCTCCAAAAGAAAAAGACTGATAACCCAATTACAAAATGGGCAAAAGACATAGAAAGAATTTGAACATAGGAATACATTTGCATAGCCAACAGATACATGAAAAAAATGCTCAGAATCACTGGCAATAAGAAAGATGCAGATCACAACCACAGTGAGATACCATCTCACCCTAATAGTCATGGCAAAGTTTAAAGGACAGCAGCAATAATGTTGGAGAAGATGTGGCAAGATAGAAACTCTCATACACTGTTGGTCAGATTACCAAAAGGTGCAAACCACTCTGGAAGGCAGTTTGTCATTTCCTCAAAAAGCTGAACATATGACCTAGCTATTCCACTCCTAGAAATATGCCCCTTGGAATTTAGAAATGATACATAGAGATTTGTACGCCAATATTCATATCAGCATTATTCACAATTCCAAGAACATGGAAACGGCCCAGATGTCCAACCACAATCAAATGGCTTGAAAAATTGTGGTACACTCACACAATGGAATACTATGTAGCACTCAGGAGTAACAATTTCAAAATCTACCTAACTTGAGAGAGACTGCAGAGCATCATGCTGAGTGAACTCAGTCTTAGAAGGATAAATACTTCATAGGACCATTATTGCAAAAACAGAAGGATAACTAGTAAGATGTTTATGGGGTTCCACAGGGGAAGGAGGAGAAGGTAGGTCTCATTTAACATGTGCCATACACAGATGCTAAGCCTCTCAAGGACTGTATAGTTATCAGAAACAGCTTAAAAAGATACTTGACCCTATGGATTTGAGAGCAGCCTTTAGGACATGCTAAGGGTCATATCCACCTGGCCAAGTAGTTGATCATTTCATGAGAAAAAATTATTTCACTTAATGATACTAGCTTTAGTGAGCGTAAAGGAAATAAAGCCTGAGACCCACTGTTGGGACTTTGAATAAAATTCGCTAAATGCAAACCAAGTACTTAACCAAATCTTTTGAGAAAATGCACAAAATATGCAAGGACTCTAATCCCTTTGTTAGTAAACTAATCACTTTCCCCACAATCTGAAGTTATTTATCAAACTTCTCTTAAATTATACTTACATTTCATTTACATTTACTCAGAATAAACAGGCTACATATTGACACAGTTCACACGGTAAAGGAACAGTGGCAGGGAGGGAACATCTGAAAATAATACGGCAGAAATGTTAAATAGAAGCCCTCAGACAACATTGAAATTTGGACCAGTCACTCAGGGTCTATATTTCCCTTCACTCTTTTGTCAACTTAGACATCATCTCTAAAGACTCTTTCATTTTGGAAATTTCGTTTGAAAGGAATTTATGAGGCAAGAAAGATAAAATCTAAAAATGAAGCTTATTTTTTAAATTTGCATTTCAAGGCTAATGCCAAGTGGGTAGAAAGTTAATTCCAGCATAAGGCAGCAAACAATTGCTGAAATTATACTTTGGGCTAAATTTATTGTTAAATATAAATGTACTATCCAAAGGAATATGGTTATTATTTTGTTTCCTGAAATTGTGGACCTAAAGTCTGATCTTCTTACTGGTATCTTCTAAAATAATAAGTTTATTATAAAATAGATATTCTTTTTATTCTGGCCACAATTTCTTTTGTTTTAAAGATAGCCTTCTTATAAGTGGCTGATGACAGATCAATTATACTGACATTTTCTCATTGCTTCTGCATGCTACATTAGATGCTTTACATTTGTTACTGCATTTATTTTTAACAACCACCTGTGAATTAGTAGTAACTTAATTCAATAACTCATTGCCCAGTGAGGAAAACTGAAAGATGAAACAGCTTATCAAAAGTCATGTTGTTTCCACTGGATAAACACTCAGAGGCAGCCTACATAAATTTTAAAACCACTTGAATAATTATTTGTAAAGAGATCAGTGTTATGGAATTCTTTTAACACACACACTCACAGATATGACAAGGCCCCAGGAATTGATGGAATACAAATTGACATGTTTCAACAAACATGCAGCCTGGATGTTGTTCCTAGTTTGTGCTAAGAAGTTTGGAAGATAACTATCTGGCCAAGTGCCTGCATTATGCATATGGTACAACCTATTTGCAGAAAGTGAAGACATGAAATACTTGATCAAGAAGATCAATGACTATATACCCTTCAATGTGGATTACATCTCAATATTAAACCAAAATTAACCACTAGACCAATAGGTAACATCAGCATAGAAGGGGAAAATATTGAAGTTGTCAATTTCATTTTACTTGGATTCACAATCAATACCCTTGGTACCAGAAGTAGAAATCAAAAGAGACATTGCACTGGCAAAAGCTGCTGTCAGAGACCTCTCCAGAGTGCTAAAGAGCAAGTATATCCATTTAAAGACTAAGGTGCTCATAATCAAGGCCATAGTATTTTTTTTTAATTGCTTCGTATGCTTCTGAAAGTTGAGCAATGAATAAAGAAGACTGAACAAGAGTCAATGCCTTTGAGTTGTGAGTATTGACTATCCCATGGACTACCAAACTAACAAATTTGTCTTGGTGGAAGTGCAACCAGGGTGGTTGTTAGAGGCAAAGAGAGTGAAAATTTATCTCATATACTTTGGGCATATTGCCAGGAGAGGCCACTACTTGGAAAAGGATATTATGATGAGAAAGGTAGAGAATCAGCAAAAGAAAGGAAGACCCTCACCAAGAGGACTTCTACAGTAGGCATGAACAAAACTGAGGTCTTGAGAATGATGCAGGACATGACAAGGTTCGGGTCTGTTGTTAGTAGGGTTGACTGGAAGACACCAAACAACGGCACAAAATACTGGAAAAGCCAAAGAATTGTCTTTGAAACATCTAAATAAGCATTTGTCTCACTATAAAATGGTAATCAAATTCTGTTTCTCTGAGAATTGCTTTAACTCTTAGCACAGAATATGCAAGAATACAGACAAGGAATGGAAAAACACTAAAAACACTAGAAAGATTTTTGTTAAGTTGTCAAAGTTCTCAAATTAAGACTTGTGTTTTCCCTGAAGTTACAGTATTGGACTCATTTATAGCCTGTGACCTCTTTTTAAAAGGAAGGGTAGTTACCTAACCCTTTCTACAGTGCTCCAGAGACTATTAGAAGTTTATGTGTACCTAGAAACAGACCCTTGAAAGTTTCGTTAGTTATTGTTCATTTTATTAAATATGATTGGTGATACTAAAAGATTTTTTCCTTTCATTTTTTTTTAGAGTTGAAATGTTCTCCTGTATTTAATTATAGTTTTGAAAACTAAGTAAAAATTATAATCAGGTTGACTTAGCAAAGAAAACATTGTTGTTGTTGTTGTTGTTGTTGTTATGTGCCATCAAGTTGCTTGCGACTCATAGTGACAGTATGTACAAGAGCCCTAAATGCCATTCTATCCTGTGCTAACCTCGCGTCTCAAACACATTCATTCCCACCACTCAACTCACAAAATCGATCCATCTCATCAAGGG